TTAGGACTGCTTGAACCCAGAGTTTGAGACCAGCCTGGGCAACATAGTGAGGCCCTATATCTATAAAAAATAATAAAATAATAGTAATTTTTTTAAAAGACTGGGTGCAGTGGCTCATGCCTGTAATCCCAGCACTTTGGAACGCTGAAGCTGTCAGATCACTTGAGGCCAGGAGTTGGAGACCAGCCTGGCCAACATGGTAAAACCCATCTCTACTAAAATACAAAAATAAGCTGGACATGATGGCACATGCCTGCAGTCCCAGCTACTTGGGAGGCAGAAGTGAGAGAACTGCTTGAACCCAGGAGGCGGAGGTTGCAATTGTGCCATTGCACTCCAGCCTGGGGCGACACAGCAAGACCCCATCTCAAAACAAATAAACAAACAAAAAAACCAAAACAATTACATGGTCGTTACCTGTAGTTCCAAGTACTTGAGAGGCTGAGGCAGGAAGATCACTGAAGCCCAGGAGTTTGATGTTGCAGTAACTAGTGATGGCACCACTGCACTCCAGCGTGGGTGACACAGTGAAGCCCCATCTCTTAAAAATATATATATCTACATGTGAATTGACAAAAAACAAAGAATGTACATCACAATATTATAACAATGATTCCTGAGGTGTGAAGCACTATGAGTAATTTTCATTTTCTTTTTACCTGTTTTCTAATTTTTATATTGTGAACACATATTATTTTTGCAACTATAAACCAAAAACGTATACCAGCATAAGGTATAAAAAAATTCATACCTATTTATAGGCCGGGTGCAGTGGCTCATGCCTGTAATCCCAGCACTTTGGGAGGCCGATGCAGGCAGATCACCTGAAGTCTAGAGTTCGAAACCAGCCTGGCCAATGTGGTGAAACCCTGTCTCTACTAAAAATACAATAATTGGCCAGGTGTGGTGGCAGGCGCCTGTTATCCTGGCTACTGGGGAGGCTGAGGCAGGAGAATCACTTGAACTCAGGAGGCGGAGGTTGCAGTGAGTCGAGATCACGCCACTGCACTCCAGCCCGGGCAACAAGAGAGAAATTCCATCTCAAAAAAAAATTGTGCATAATACTGTCCTTGTAAGGGTGTGGTAGAAATGGCTTTACAGGCAGGGTTTATTCCAACTTCCTTCTGGCGTTCCTCCCTGTGCTGCAGAGGCTGGGAACAAAAAGTCATGTTTCCTTGACTCCCTTGCAGCTGAGTTGCTGAGTATGAATTAGCGTCCACCAGTAGATGAACCTTCTTGAGAAGGAGGCCACAGTATCAGCTCTGCCCCTGTCTGCAGGAGCTCAGTTGGGGCTACAACAGAAAACCAGAATTCATCTCCAGCTCTGAGCTCAGAGGGAGTTGGCGCTGGGGTAGATTCACTCCTGGATGGTGGCTGTAGCAGAAGATTCTTGAAGCCAACAGTTTGGGTGGTGGCCTTCTAAATTTCTACCTTCCTGATATCCTGGAGGTTGTAGTGATCCTGGCGAGCCTGTTCGGTATCATTGCTCAGCGTTCTGGGAATCATTCCTGGATACCTAGCCTCAATAGGCAGCCTTGCCAGCAGTTTTATAATTGCCCAAATCATCCTAGGCCTAAAATAGCTGGTTGTTTCTGTTTCCTGAGACACAACCTGACTGACATAAGGCCTCATGAGCTATTTGGGGATGAGCTTGTGCTGAAGGAAAACATACATTCTATGACAAGTCAAGTGGAAGCATTAATATATCAAGTTGCTTGGAATCCATCTGAATTGCAGAAAGAAGAGTAAAAGTATCAGGAACAAATGCCAAACCTAAAACACAATGAAGAGCTTCAAGTATAAATGTAACAGAGTCACAGATTGCAGGTACAATATCACTTACATATTTCTCTAGAATGGCTCACTCTTCCCATGAGCCTTATTTCAATGGGTTTTGGGGTGGGGTGGTGAGGAGCAGGGATATTCAATTAAGTTTGCCTGTTTGTAGAATTTTGGCTCAAAGAGCCCTTTTCCTTGGTGTGGTGGCACAATCTTTCAGAGTTCTCAGTTTCTCCACAGTGTCTGGACGCCCAGGGCTATGTGGATAAGTGTACCGGGTGCTCTGGTCCCATGCTGGTTTCCCATGTGAATTGGCTGGTCTGGCCTGGTCCCCAGCCTCAGATCTCTTGAAGGACTCACAGATTCCATTTAGGACAGGGGCATCGTGATGTTACTCACTGCTGGAGTCTGTGATTCCAGTCCTTGCGTCTGATCACAGATCTTCCTACTCTGTGGCTTCTTCCTCTAGGCCTCTATCATTCACCAGTCTCAGAGCACTCCCAGCCCCACTCTGGGGTGTACATGGTTACTAGATCCTTGGCCTGCCTCTTGCAGGCTGTAGGGCCTGCCCCACGTCCACACATTCATTCCTACCCTCTGTTGGGGCCATGCTCCATGAGGACAGTGCTGTGTTGAATGTGGAGTCCACGTGGGCTTCTCCTGGCCTTCCAGGTGAAGCAGGAGGCAGATGCCCCTCTGCTTCTAGCTGCACAGCTTTTTTAATCTTTTTTTTTTTTTTTTTTTTTTTTTTTTTGAGACAGAGTCTTATTCCATCACCCAGGTTGGAGTACAGTAGCACCTTGTCGGGTCACTGCAACCTCTGCCTCCCAGGTTCAAGCAATTCTCCTGCCTCAGCCTCCCAAGTAGCTGGGATTACAGACATGCACCACCATGTCCAGCTAACTTTTATACTTTTAGAGATGGGGTTTCATCATGTTGTCCAGGCTGGTCTTGAACTCCTGACCTCAGGTGATTGCCCACCTCGGCCTCCCAAACTGCTGGGATGACAGGCGTGAGCCACCACGCCCAGCTGCACATCTGACTAGCATCCATGCCAACGATCAACATGAAAAAGGGAGACAGGGACACAGGCAACTGTCCCCTTGCCTCCACATCTACTGGGATGGCAGGGGTGATGTTTTCACTTCTGCCCCTCAGCAGCGGAATTCCTCTGTGTCCTTATCTACTCCCCTCCAAACAGCAGGGACCCTGTACAAGATAGGATCCAAGGAGATAAATTAACTTGCCAATGAGCAAGGGCCAAAGATGCTGCCGCCTTTTTGCTAATAAAATATGCTCATGATGATTTCCGCAAATGATGCCCATCCTCGCTGCTTCTGCTCCTTTCTCCTAACACTTACTAAGAAGGAACACATTGGGCACATAAGTGTCTGAATTTTATTTCCATCCTCTGCTTTAAAATAGGGCACCATGAAGAGACCTGTCAGCTGTGGAAGCTGTTTGCATTGGAGAGTGAAGACAACCTCCCGTCCTTCAAAAGATTACAAAAGAAAGGCCCAAAGTCTCCCAGTGAGAGAGGGGAGAGCTTTCCTTGCAAGTATCTGAGGAAACAGAGTGGAATCATGAGCTCTTCCCTGCAATAAGATTCATGTCATTAAGAACTATGGATTTTCTGGGCCAGGCGTGGTGGCTCACGCCTGTAATCCCAGCAATTTAAGAGGCTGAGGTGGGTGGATCATTTGAAGTCAGGAGTTAGAGAGCAGCCTTGCCAACATGGTGAAAACCTGTCTCTACTAAAAAAATACAAAAATTAGCTGGACATGGTGGTGCACACCTGTAATCCCAGCTACTTGAGAGGCTGAGGCAAGAGAACTGTTTGAACCCAGAAGGCAGAGGTTGCAGTGAGCCAAGATTGTGCCACTGCACTCCAGCCTGGGCGATAGGGAAAGACTGTCTCAAAGAAAAAAAAGGAACTATGGATTTGCTAAGGCCAATAGTCTCTCTCCCCCTTAGTAAAATACGTTTTGGTATAAAAATCCAGATAATTGAACCATTGCCATTAGATGTTTTGAGGTTCCTATTGACAAGATTTCAACACTTTTATTTTTAGTTTTTAGAGATGGGGCCTTGCTCTGTTGCCCAGGCTGGAGTGTAATATAGTGATCACGGCTCACTGCAACCTTGAACTCCCTGGCTCAAGGAAGTCTCCCACCTCAGCTTCCTGAGAAGCTGGGACAAGTGTGCTCTACCATGCCTGGCTAGATTTTGTATTTTTTGTAGAGATGGGGTTTTGCCATGTTGCCCAGGCTGGTCTCGAACTCCTAGGGTCAAGAAATCCTCTCACCTTGGCCTCTCAAAGTACTGGGATTACAGGTGTGAGCCACCATGTCTGACCACTTTCAACACATATATTGTTGGAGTGAAACTTAAACATATGAGGATTTGTTCAAAGTATATATAGAGAAGGCAAAATTCCACACTGATGCATCCCACCTCGGACTGGATGTGCTGTGCAGAGTGAAGGTGGAAAACAAGCCAGAGATCCTGATCAAATAAATCTACCTGGGGAACAAGCATTTGGCATCTCATTCCACAGGATGGGGTAGATATGGCTTATAAAACCATGATTATTCACAAAGAGGTTGTTGTTCTGCATGTAAAGGCTGGAAGAGCGTGTACTTGGATTTGTCAGCACCAGGGAGGGCACAGGCTGGGCTGGTGGGCCCGGGAGGTAGGGGAGGTGGGGAGGGAGGCCGTCTGGCAGGAATTGAACATTTGACGTCGTGGGGCACTTTGCAGAGGAGGCTAAATATTTCCAAGGAGATACGTAGAAGCTAGTCACAATGGGTGAGTCATAAAGAGAAAGCTGGAGCTGGGGATCCTGGAGGGAGATGATCAGAAGTTTGGTTCACAGGACTCAGGTTGAACGGGACTTGTTTGAGAACCCAGGCTGGACAGGACTTGTGGCAAGCAGTCCAGCACAGCCTCATAGTGCAGAGCATGGACTTTGGATCCTGCCACCACCCTAGCTTTGTGACCTTGGGTGAGCTACATAACTTCTCATGTGTAAGGTGCTCATCATAATGATTCTGACCTCAGTGGTTTGTTGTGTTACAGGAAATGGTGTCAGTTAATCCATAGCCCCAGCCTCAGCACAGAGCAGCCACCTTGAAGCTCTTAAACATCACTGTTGTTAATACAGAGAGGAAAACCAACTGTAACGTGCTGCCCAAATATAAGTTTTACTCATATTTTGATGTTAGGATGGATAGCTTGGAAACAGTTGGAGGGAACGGCCTTATTATGAGGCATCTATGAAGGATCAGGAATGGATATAGACAAGGAACTAGTAATGGAAAATGTTAAACCTGGAGTCCCTGGAAAACCAGAAATGAGGCTGGGCACTAAGGAAGAAACAAATGAAGGTGACACTAATGGTAAGTGGGGATGGAAAGAGGGTTGTCTTAAAGACCTCTGCAGTTAGGGAGTGGGCAGGGTGTTGAACCAAGAAGGGAAAATTGTGGTTTAAGAATATGTACACAGAAGATACATGTAATCACGTGCTGTTTGACCTTGTATTGAATGAGTTATTCAGATTAATACATAATTCATCAGACTTCATTCGTGATCTCTTAAGAGTGACATCAGTTTCCTTGGGGTATGATAAGAATTTGTTTGGTTCTTCTTTTGCATTTCTATTTTATTTATTTACTTTTTTTGGATACAGAAAGTTCATTACAAGTCTTGTCCGGCAACGTGCCTCTCCTGGCCCTAGAGTTCTTGGACACAGCCCAGGCCAAAGAGAAGGTCTTTCTCCCCATGGTCAGCCACATGTTCCACATGCCTATAGAGGAGTCCGACGCCCCACAGCAAGGCAATGACCTACCCGAGTCCTCAGCAAACACCAGCCAGCCCAAGCAGGATGACATCCCCAAGTCCCCAGAAGAAACCAGGCAGCCCAAGGTGGGTGATATCTGCAAGTCCCCAGAAGAAACCATCCAATCCAAGAAGAACGACCTCCCCAAGTCCTCAGAAGAAGCCATCCAGCCTCAGGAAGGTGACATACCCAAGTCCTCAGCAAAACCCATCCAGCCCAAGCTGGGCACTATTCCCAAGTCATCAGCAAAACCCATCCAGCCCAAGCAGGATGACACCTCCAAGTCCTCGGTAAAGCCCATCCGACACAAGCTAGGAAATATTCCCAAGTCCTCAGTGAAGCCCAGCCAGCCCAAGTCCCCAGAAGAAACCATCCAGGCCAAGGAAGGTGACATCCCCAAATCCCCAGAAGAAACCATCCAGGCCAAGGAAAGTGACATCACCAAGTCCCCAGAAGAAACCATCCAGGCCAAGGAAAGTGACATCACCAAGTCCCCCAAAGAGGCCATCCAGCCCAAAGAGGGTGACATCCCCAAGTTCCCAGAAGAAGCCATTCAGCCTAAGGAGGGTGACATCCCTAAGTCCCCAGAAGAAGCCATCGAACCCAAGGAGGGTGACATCCTAAAGCCTGAAGAAGAAACAACTGAGTCCCTGGAGGGGGACATGGTGAAAATAATCCTGAGCAAGGAGGACTTTGAGGCAGCACTGAAGGAGGCTGGGCAGAAGCTGGTAGCTGTGGACTTCTCAGCCACATGGTGTGGGCCCTGCAGGACCATCAGACCATTCTTCCATGCCCTGTCTGTGAAGCACGAGGACGTGGTGTTCCTGGAGGTGGACGCTGATGACTGTGAGGAGGTGGTGAGAGACTGTGCTGTCATGCATGTCCCAACCTTTCAGTTTTATAAAAAAGAAGAAAAGGTGGACGAGTTTTGTGGCGCCCTTAAGGAAAAACTCGAAGCAGTCGTTGCAGAATTAAAGTAAACATGCATTCTGCATTGTAGACAGTCAGATGTTTATAGCTTTTTTCTTTTTTATTATTTGCAAAAAAGATCAGGTATAACACAAATGTATGTCCAAATGGCACTGCTTATACATGGTAATATTAATTCTACCCTTATCAAAAAACAGTCCAAGCATTAAGGTACATCGTGACTATGTTTCTGTTGGTTGGAGAGTGTAAAATTAGAAATTCCTCTGATGAAGATTGTTAAGTCCCACTGTCTCCTGTTTTTCAATCTTGATATGTATTTATGTTTCACTTGCCCTTGAAAAGTCCACTATTTAGTATTTGCAGCAAGACTGAAAATTTAGATAATTTTTCTGTAGAGGTGCATGATTGAAAAATGAATAGAAACTTCTTTTCTCATGCTCACATATCTTTGGGGATTCTAATAAGATACTTTTGGAAATAAGGAATTTGAAAGATTTACATCTTAACTAACCTCCTTCTTCAGCCGGGAGTGCTTAGAGGCCTTGGGAAATTCAGTGGTTTGTCCAAGGCCTGATTTGTTGGTGACAGAACTGAGATCACTACTGCTTCCAGATTTCAAGTCCAGGGCTCTATCTACTATAATCTATTCTCACAACATCTGAGACAAGAGCTCAGAACTTAGGTTTCTCAGAAGTTGAAGTCCTCTGGATCTTTGCTGCCATTATGACATCATGCCCTGATGGCAGAGTTCCTGGTTTGTCTCCCTGGTAATTGGGTTCCTAATACCTAGACCTTCCTTTGACTTTTTAACTTAAATTGGTTCCTGTTTTCAATATTGAACAAACCCACCTTTAACATGACTCTGCCAGCTTAGACATATAGGCCAAGACTTTAATGAATTAAGCTAATCATGGTGCTACCAGAGTCTTGTTTGGACAACTTAGTGAGCCCCAGGTGTCTGTAAATCCAAAGCCCCAGGTCTGAACCATAGATGGAGGCTTAGTCCAGAGTGGGTTTTTTAAAATGAATAAAATCAGCTTCATTAGATATAACTGATATACAAAGAACTGCACATGTTTAATGGAGGGAGTTGGATGAGTTTGGATGTGCGGAATATGCCGTTGATTACCACCTCCACCATCAAAGTAATTAACACCTTGATTGCCTCCAGAAGTTTTCTTGTATCACTGTGCTTTATTGTTATTACTATCATGGTAAGAGCACTTAACAGGTCTACTCTCCTAACACATTTTTAGTGTCCAGTGCTGTTACTTAAACTAGGGTCCTGATGCCGCACAGCAGATCCATGGAACTTACTCACTGGTGAAGGTGAAACTTAACACCATTGAACAATTCCCTGTTACCCCTTCCCCCACTCTCTGGCAGTCACCATTTTACTTTTTGCTGGTCCAGAGGTTTTTTAAAATTTGAATTCATTGCCAACATTTAAAACATCGGATTTTTTTTTTTTTTTTAATCTAGATATCTAACTTTTCTTGAAACATTGTAAGATCTGGCAATACAGGCTTGCTTTATCTCAAGAAAACCAATCTAACCTTGGGGTCTGAGTGGCAGCTGCCTCCATCTGATAGGGCACGCTCTCTCCAGTCTTCTGCTGCAGAACCTGGCTGGCTTCTTCACATAGCCAGCTGAGTTGCAATCCCTATCTTAAGTTCAAGACTGGGATTGGGCAGGTGGATCACCTGAGGTCAGGGGTTTGAGACCAGCTCGGCAAACATGGTGAAACACTGTCTCTACTAAAAATACAAAAATTAGCCTGGCGTGATGGCACGTGCCTGTAATCCCAGCTACTCGGGAGGCTGAGGCAGGAGAATTGCTTGAACCCAGGAGACAGAGGTTGCAGTGAGCTGAGATACTGCCATTGCACTCCAGCCTGGACAACAGAGAGAGATTCTGTCTCAAAACAACAACAACAACAACAAACAAATTCACTGAGAAATGAAAACAAGAAAATAAAAAGCAGGTCAAAATACTAAAAACACAATTATCTCTATTTAAATTGGAGAAAAGGCACAACGGGTTGTCATTGGCTGTATCTGTGTGAGAATATTTTTTTCTTTCATTCTCATTTTGTTTTATCCTGATTACTTTATATACAAAAAGAAAAAACAATCAATGGAATACTTTGAAGACTCCAACTGTTTAGATATTGCCGGGGAATACAAACAACTGCTAGAAAATACAAAATCTGGGAAGCCTGAGCAAGGGGGAGTAGGTGAATGGCCCAAGCACAAGGGTGTTCTGGCAGAGCCTCCTAATGCTGGCCTTATCCAGAGTTTTTGTATTCCAGTTGCGCATTTTGGGCCTTCTAGGCTTCAGATTACAAATGGTCTAAGAACAGACCAAATCAGAAGTTCTTCTGTTTGGAGATGAACTACGTAAGTGATCATGAGTGTTATGGGGTAGCTGATATATTCATTTTTTCATTGCAACTGACAAAAGGCCAACTCAAACCTGCTCCGGCAAAAATGAGAGGGTATTGAATCTTGAAAATGGAAATTCTAAGGAGATCAACTACTTTAGGTAGATTCGGGCATTCAAACAACATCAGAACGCAGTTTTCTACCTCTTAGCTGTACTGTTCATATTGATTTTATCATCAGTTGCTTCTGTGGCTCATAATCACAGATAAAAAGGTGAGCCTGTCTCCTGATAATCCCAACAAAAGTCACAGGAAAGACTCTGATTGGCTGTATCATGCACCAATCCCTGAACCACTCTGTGTATTTGGAAGAGTTGAAGGACTCCTGATTGGTCAGGCTTGGTCACTTGTGCACACTCGGAGCAGAATCAGCCCCATCAAGCCTCAGGAGCTGAGTGGATTACCATGGCAATGGGAGGGAGGAAGATCTGTCTGTAGTTAGGCATATAGATTACAAGGGATGGCATTTCAGCACTCAACATTAGACCAAGATACCACATTAATAATATGGAGAATATGTTCACAATCACCCTTATCTCACTTATAAATCCCCATGAAATACCAAACCTAATAAGAAGAGGCTATGCATTTATCAAGTTCCTTTTAAACACATCTTCTCATTTCACTTTCATCCAATCTGGTTTCCTTGAATCTGCAACTATCCAGCCTTAAAACTAAATAGTTATCTGTGCCTTATTCAAATGACAAATGATCTTATGATAGTAAGTAACTTTTGCTAATGTTGGCATATGGGATATAAATCAAAAGAGACTGTGAAACCTGATGAGTGAATGCTTAGAAAGATTCAAAGGATGGCTGGGCACGGTGGTGGCTTATGCCTGTAACCCCAGCACTTTGGGAGGCCAAGGTGGGCGGATCGCCAGGTCAGGAGTTCGAGACAAGCCTGGACAATAGACAAGCCTGGCCAACTTGCTGAAACCCCGTCTCTACTAAAAATACGAAAATAAGCTGGGTTTGGTGGTGAGTGCCTGTAATCCCAGCTACTCGGGAGGCTGAGGCACAAGAATTGCTTGAACCTGGGAGGTGGAGGTTGCAGTGAGTTGAGATCATGCCATTGCACTCCAGCCTGGGTAACAGAGCAAGACTCTGCTTCAAGAAAGAAAAGAGAGAAAGAGAGAAAGAAAGACAGAAAGACAGAAAGAAAGAAAAAAAGAAAGAAAGAAAGAAAGAAAGAAAGGAAAGAAAGGAAAAGGATATAAACAGGGTGTGATAGTTCTGGGGTCTGTTTTTCTAAGTGATGCTTTTGAAACATGTTTTTCTCTAAATATGAACAATCTGGTTCTTCATAAACTATGCCTTTAGTGTTCAACACTTCTGTCTCTTTGAGATTCAAATGGTATTTCAAATAAATTACATTCAGCAAATACTAGAAAGTTATGGTAAGTTGTTACTTAGAATTCTACAGTGATTTTTGGCAGATTTTTAAGTTTCCCAGAACTTGTAAGAGAACTGTGAAATGCTACACTCTATGGAGATAAAAGTTAACTAAAAAACAAAGCAAACCAAGAGATAAAAGGAAAAGTTAGACTGCAAGTTTTGAAATAATAATGGCACTTGAACCACGAGATCCTTTAATACCCACATGAGAATAGATACCCAGTGCAACAATGACAAATATTTGGATGTAGATATCAGAGTCAGATAAAACTCAAGGCCGTAGCCTAAAGTTTTAAGGAAATCAAAAATTTCAAATTCCAGAATGGAAAAAAGATAATTTATAGGAAAATGAAGAAGTTGATGATAGAAAATGGTAAATAGGAAAAAGTTAGGGCCAGTAATGACAGGTAGTAGTTGAAATGAAGAAAGGTGAATTGTGAAAACAATGGAAAAGAAAATGTGATAATCCTGTTACATATTGATTCGAAATGTATATTACTTTTACACAAGTTGAGGGTCATCTTTGTTTAGGTTAAGATGGTAATTTCAAGTAAGAGGCAGATAGGGCATGGAGAAGGACAAGGAAGAGTAAGGTTGTCCTCATAAGTTACATTTCTGCCGACCTTAATGCTGTTTTCATGAATTCCTGGTTTAGAAAACTAAAAGTTCTCTGATCTCTGGAGAGGCACCTTTTTGCTAGGTATTGAGAAATGGTGAAAACAAAACAAAACAAAATGCTGCTTCTCTCTCCCTACTGTATGAAAGCCTCAAAACCTTGGTGTTTAAAAGACAAAGCTAAATGCAACTCTAATGACTCATAGATCAATATCTTTCACTGATCTTAGGAAGATACACGAGAAAGTCACCAGTTAGCTAATGATTCTCAGTTTAGAAAGGGCAGAGGAGGCTAGCTGCCTCTCAGAGAAGGCTTTAAGAAAGACTTCCGGCTGGGTGCGGTGGCTCAGGCTTGTAATCCCAGCACTTTGGGAGGCCGAGGCGGGTGGATCATGAGGTCAAGAGATCGAGACCATCCTGGTCAACATGGTGAAACCCCGTCTCTACTAAAAATACAAAAATTAGCTGGGCATGGTGGCGCACGCCTGTAGTCCCAGCTACTCGGGAGGCTGAGGCAGGAGAATTGCTTGAACCCAGGAGAGGGAGATTGCGGTGAGCCGAGATCGCGCCATTGCACTCCAGCCTGGGTAACGAGAGCGAAACTCCGTCTCAAAAAAAAAAAAAAAAAAAGAAAGACTTCCTTTAAGTCATACCAGTTAACATGGCCAGACTGTAATGTATTGTCATGTTATCAGAAGCAGCTAAATAACTGGAATTTATTTATGGAGAGCAGTTCAACCTTAATGGATTTTTTTAAGACAGGGTATTGC